AATTAACCTTTTCGGATTGCAAAAGGACAAAGCTCGCATGTCCAAGCCACAGCGCCCTTGGCCACTGGTTGGGTAGGCGTCGGCTTGAGCCCCTTAAAAAGGCTAGAACGGCTGGTAGCGTAACTTTGCACCCGAAAAGCTTATTGTCCTGAACTTCCGTGCGAAACTCATGTTTTCTTTTCTTTTTGCTTTCTTTTCTTTTTGCTTCCAAAGCCGATTTCCTCCAATTAGCCCATCTCTTTTTCTAGACAGTCAGCGTTTGGACTTTGGAGCTCGAAAAAAAACCTTGGGGCAAAGGCTGACTCGGAACCGTTGGAATTCCATCAGCTTAGTGCAGTTTCACATTCCCAGTGCGGCCTGGTGTAGCGTCGAACAGGACCAACGTCCTGTCTACCCCCCAATCATCTTTCGTGGTTTTGAAGGTCTTTCATGTCATTGACTTGCTTCCAGCGATCATCTTTGCAACTCACTTTGCGGATCAGGGCTCGGGAGTCTCCCAGCTGAGATATTGGGCAATGTTGGGGCGGTTAAAACCTGATATCCGCCCTTCAGCTATCTTTTTGCGCTGACCCATTGCTAGCTAGTGGCTTGAGCCAGCTTGAGGTCTCAGCCGATCTGTCGTCGGGAAGAGGCCTTAGCAGTTTGGAGACGTCAGATCCAGCCGACGGGGGCTTCAACATATGCGAAACCGCGTCGTCATCGGTGGACAGGAAAAGTACCAGTACCACTTCTTTTTTGTTTTGTTGTACCAGCACCGCCGGACGCGTAGCTTTTCATGTCTGGTCCATCTTCAAGGCCTAATCCCAACTTTTGCCAGTGAGTGGGAAAAGCAGCTTTGGGATGAAGAGAAGTTTGAGAAGCAAGGTCATAGGAGTCTTGGCGGTCGTTTTGGAGGCGGTGATTCTGCAAAAGAACGTCCGTTTTTGATCCAAGAACTTCCAGATCCAAATTTCCGATTGTAAAACATTTGCTGCAGCCTCCGCCAGCCACGGGTCCAACCATTTGCCTGGACGGCCACATGCTTTATTGTATTGTTCAACATCTTGTGGGAGCAGGCCATCCTCTGTAACAGTGGCGCAGTCTGGATCCAAATACCAGTCGAACTTTTAATCCGTGTGGCCCTTGAGGTCAATAGCGCACTTGGCGCATAACGACAGAGCCAGTTTACGAATCTTCGACAGTGTTTCAGTAAGGTTGGTTTTGTTTCGCAAGGCTTGCTGAGCAGCCAGGCATCGACACCCACAGTACCCTTTTCCACCTCAATCATAACTTTGCACTGCATCTGGCATGGATGGTGGTTTTCTTAGCGACTTTGTTTTTAAGTGGTGTACCCATGGCGTCACTACACCGTTTATTAGGAGCATCACTGGTCTCCATATCTACAGCTTTGCTCTTGGAAATGATGTCTTCTGAATTGAATCAGGCTGCCAATCAACATCCGTGACAGTGGGTGGTGTCTCTTTGGGTTTCGGTGCGTTGCCCGCGACAGATTGCGTGACCACCGAAACCCAGCTTCTGCTGGCGTTGATGGGTTTGGGGGTAACCCTACCTGACCTGTTTTTGTAAGAGAAAGGGTTGATGGTAACATGGCGTCCAACAGAAGAAAGATCGAAAACCATTCTGCACGTAGCGCAATCTTCCGGCGGGGTTCGTGAGAAGACCCAAGGGGCTTGAGCGTTGGAAATATCAGTGGTTTTTCAAGGAGTTCTGGTGGTTTTCCGGAGGTGTCCTTGGGCGCGTCAGCCCCGATTATACAGGCTCGGCGCCTGTAAAACAAAGCGATTGGGAGTTTCTCGGCTTTTGCCTTGCCCAAACGGCTGCCTAGGAAGTTGTTGATCAACGCTTCCAAAAAATGTTTTTGCTCCCTGATCAAAATGTCAAGCAAGGTTTTTGCACTAGATTGCGGGGCTTTGACGTGACCCATAATGATTTCCTGAGTAGGAATGCGGTTCCATCCGAGGCTCCTTACGTTGGAAAGGACATGGTTTTTGATAGCCTGTTCCCAGGTTCGTGGCTCCACGAACTGCTTGGCTGCGGTAGCTCGAAGAGAAACCAGTCTGACATCTTGGGCGGCGTCCATTTTCTGCACTTTAGGTCCTTGAGGGAAGGAAGATGGCAGATTGCCAAGGAGGGAGCCAACGGAAAGTTGTCTCCACTGCATCCAGTTAAGGGCATATCCGAGCTTCTCAGCCTTGTTTTTCAATGGCTTCGCTTCCCCCCGACCCATTGGCCTGAATAAACAAGGCGCATTGGCAACTGCGATGCGGGGACTATCGATCCATTGCGCCCATCTCTTTTGGATTCTTCCTCTTTTTGAGGGGTGGACCAGCGCTGGGAGAAGCAAGCCAACAAAATAGAAGCTGGTTTGTTGTAAAAAAAGGTTCCAACCAAACAACTTAAGCGAGTGAGAATGAGAGGCAGAACCCCAGCCCGCAGGCCCACTCAGCCAAAGGCTCAACAGGAAAGTCCTAAACACTCACCTGAAAACTAGCAAAGGTTTGATTGCCTAGGCCTTCCCATTGCGACATACCAGGAGCTGATCCACGATTTGGGGGCCAAGCAGCTGGCCCTGCATGGAGAATTGATGCCAAGTCACTTGAGGTGCAAGAGGAGAAGTTGTTTGCTCGTGGGCTTCAACGAATGAGCTGGCAGGGCTCGTGGAGCGGATCGGGCCGCAAGATATGACTTGTGGCTGTCCTCAAGGAGCTCCTCCTGAAGGTGGTTCACTCTCCTCCGAGCTGTCTGCGCTCGAGCTCCCTTTCCCTTCCCCTGTCATGGCGTTCCTTTTGTCTGACCCGACGATCCTTGTCCAGGCCACTGTCCTTGAAGAGACTGTCGTAGCTCTTACTCTTCTTCCGCCCCTTCTTCCTTGCTCTCCTCTCCTTCGAACGGCCCTCCTCTCTCCTTCTCACAACCTTGGAGCTTTCGTCACCTTTTCCTCTGATCTCCAAAGCCCCATGGCAATCCCATCTCGATCACTTCGAAGGCAAAGTTCACCTCGCGACCCCAATGCCTCTTCCTATCAACTTCAAGCTCCTTCTGCAAAGTCTGGGCATTCAGGTTCACCCCTACCTGCCTGGCTGCCCTCTTCGGCTCAAAGGCCTAAGTGGCATCAACGGCGCTTCCTCCTGAACTCTTTTCCTTCCTCCAGCGCTAATTGAAAGATCTCTGTCTGCCCTTCTTCTTGATCCCTTTGTTCCTTCCTTCAAACAGTGATGCATCAGAACGCTCTCTCAAACGCCGGTTGTTCCTGGCTGCGGGAATCCAACCAGGAGGTGGTCCACAAAGCGATCTCGGTCTCCTCACCTCCTGTCTCTCAACTGGTGGGGCTTTAGGGGGCGGTGCGCGAGATGGACGGGCTCGAGGTGCACTACTCGAAGTTGCTTGCTCTGCCTCCCCTTTGGCGACTTTCTCTTTTCTTGATCTAGACTTGCTGGACCTCTTCCTCTTCTTTTCTTGTCGGTGAGGAGATTCAACAACCTCCCTTACACCGTGTCCTGATCCTGAGCTCTCTCACCACTCCTTGTCTCGTCCTCCTCGCGTTTCATAGGAACTCTTCTGTTGGTACCTCCCACAACACGCTCAACCCTGCGATGAACGTGTGAGCTGCCTTCTCCTCTGCTGTCTCCTCCTTTCAACTATCCTCCGAAGTCCTCACCACCTCTGTGCCTGTGCCCTTGTGAAGCTCCTCCTCTAGGTTCACAACCTCTGCTCAATCGCCTTCACCGTCAGGATGGAGTCCACTCTCGCTCTCCGGCTGAGGCGGCTGTCGCTGCCTCCCGTTCAGCCTGTGGCTGTTGGTCCAGCCAATGATCGAGCTCCCCAAGCAAATTGCGGAGCCTCAACGTGCCAAACAGGATGAAGCCCTAAACGGCACTCCTCTCAGCCACCAACCGCAGCAAACGGGACAATGAGGTACACAAACCGCAGGCACAATGCGGCGCTGTCCCCACGACCCCATAAGCTGAGCCGGAGCTGCGAGTAAAACTGGCTTCGCGTCTTCGTCCTTTGTTACCAGGATGTAAGTTCATATACATATACGTACAAATATGCGCGCACACAGCACAGTTCCACAAGCATCACGCGCATGCGTTCAAACATAGCAAGGGCAGCACAGAGCCAGACTACAGTACTCGAAACACAACACGGAAATACTCTGGAGGCTCCGGCATTCTCAAGCAGCCTTTTGATCAAACTCACGTTTCAAACAGAAGATGCTGCTCCAGCATATGTATTGCCCGCTCAAAACAAGATGATGCTGCCCGTATAAGCATGTGCGGAACAAAAAATGCGTGCACGCAGTGGAATATGATGCTGCTCGTTTAGGTATACGCATGCACAAACATGCGCACACAGTACTGTTCCCAGGCTTCACAGGCACCATGCGCAAGCGTTGAAACATATCAAGAACAAGGCATGCCAGACAGACTATTCAAACACAACTTGCCTCTACAGCAGGTGATACCACCGGCACCAGCCCCACCCTGTCGCAACAGCGTGCACAGTCAGCTCAAAGCACCGAGCAGCACCCGGCACCAGCAGGATGTCTCGAAAGCGCTCATGGGCAGCTCATTCTTATTTCACGTAAGAACCCTTTAACTATCACCATCTGAGGAAATAACTTTACTGAACAGAAACGCTGGCCTCTCTTGCTGAACACCAATTGTGTCCAAACTCAATATGTTCGGTCTACCCATAGTATGTGGATGGAAGGACGGAAAAACCCAAAAACATAAGGGTGTTAAGGTGGGTTATTCCTGGGTTGAAAGTGTTGGGCCACGCCATGGTCCTGGCCAAAAAGTCAATACCATGCAAAAATTGAGGTGTTTCCTCATCCAAAAGCTGTCACTTGTCAGGCGTCCTTGCTTCTCAAGTTTCTCTGCATTATGAAAAGAATGGTAGCTGAGGACAAACTTGCAAACATAAACACATGAAGCTTTAGGGTATCTATCACATGCCAGGGTCATGCGGACGAGGCCAAGCCATTGAAGCCAAGACTCTTTATAGACTGCAAAGGTGCACAACGTGACAAAGCCCAGCACAAAGACGATAAGCAGAATCCAACCAATGACAAGCATAGCTGTGTGCTCGTCAGATCCGCAAATGATGTCCGGATACTTCAAGACGCTTCTCAAGCCATTCGGGTGCTTGTAGCACATCATTGGAGCAAGCGATGTTGCTGACATGGTGGAAAAGCCGACTTGAAGAAAAGCTCCGCAAGTACTGACTGTCTTGGATCCATTCCAGCGGCGATTTGCCGGCAGGAGTTTAGAAAGTAAATAGCAAAGACCCAACCAAGCCACACCAACAGGAAAGATCAATGCACTGAGAAGGTATCGGATCGGCGCGACCGAGCCTGAGCAATCCCCAATGCATCATAAGTCATTCCGGTTGTCTCCTATGCCTAGTGTTAGTATTCTCCTGAAGATTGAGCAAACATCTGTGATTTAAAGCTACTTAGCGCTTTGAGAGAAGTCAATCCGAACAATCGAGCTCTGAAATTCTGAATGGAACAAAAGTCGCTCTTGCGACAGCAAAAATGTCTAATTGCTGTTTGAGAATGAATACCTGGTCATTTTTTGACTGTCTAGTGGCAAACACCAGCTCTATCTCTGAACTGAGACCCTTCCAGCCTGCAATGCAGCTGAATCCATAGCTGTCAATGTCAAGCAGGAGGAATTGGCAAACGCTGAAGATTCCCTTGAGATCTACAGGCCAGTCAATGGTCATCATACCAATGAGCCCCAAGTTTTGCATGGACATCACGAGCATACCAAATGATGCAGTGGTGGCAAACAGCACGGTCGCTTTAGCTGTAACCTTGCTCGAGGTTAAGTAGTACAAGAGAACCAGGACGACAAACACGCCGACCACGGCCATGGCCTCAGAGAAGCGCCCGAAGCACCCAAGACCAGCCAACGCAGCAAGCACAAAGTGCACAAAGCTGGCACAAGAAGTTGGCACAAGAGTGCAGTCACAAATTTGACCGTTTGCCATTTGCTATCTTGATCCACTTCCAACTGAAGCTTCCTTACATGACATTGCAAATAGATTGAATGGCCTACGTTCGCAGCCACATGTCTTCCACCACCCGAAGAACAAAAGCCACTTGGCACCCTGTGCCCAGCATCTTTGTGTGTGTGTGGTATAATGTCATATGCGAAAAGGCTGTGCTGACAAGAAGGCATGACCCGCAAACCCCTTGGTGGAACCACCAACCATTCAGGAAAAAGCAACTTCAGAGTATTCCTCTCAGGGTTTGCCAGTGACGAAACAGTGCAACAAAATCACTGTTTAAGAATAGTTTCGAGTCAGTCATGACATAGCTAGCCGAGTCTTAGTCAAGTAACATACCCCTTGCACAACACCGATGGTTCCGCTTGTGAACCAGGCCAGGCCCAAAACCTGAGGTCCTGGCCCAAAGGACTTGGCGCCAACCTTCACACGCTTCACACTGCTTTCCAGTCCAGGTAGCACCTGTCCGTCGCAGCGCGCGTCCCGACGGAAAAGACCCGCCGGTGGGTATCGTTCGCATGGATTGGAATTAGATAAACCGGATCAAGGGATGCGAAGTTCAATGGAACATGGACTAAATCACGGGCGCGCATGATATTATTTCCAGAAGAGTATGTGGCATGAGACAAGTAGATTGCTGCGACTCAGCCCAATGAGTACCCAAGCTAAATGAGTCAAAAGTTCTGGAAGTATATACAGCGCAAACAGAGATCACATATGCCCTGAAGTTGCGGATTTTTACACCTCACATGTCTAGCACGACGTATCATGTATTCACAACAGCAAAAAAACTGCAATGAGGCCGCTGATCTCTGTTGGTTCCGCCTCCGCCGTTTTCGTGAGTTTCCGGTGTTGCGAAGCGTGAAAAACACCGTCAGCTATCATTTCAAGGAAGGTCTCCTTGTTCCTCTGTCAGCATCAGCTGTATCTGCTGAAAGTTATTCTTGGTTCCACTACTGGGTGAAGGATATTTGGTAATGGTGAAAACGTTGCTGCGGCTTCATGCTCGTAGCTATCCAAATTATTGCAGCATATATATATATACACAGCAGGTTGACCAGTCACAGTCACCTCGTTTTCATTCCAGCAGAGGCAAGTCAGCAGACTGCAAATCTTATTCTTATTCTGTGAGTCTTGATTTCCACAAACAATTCCTGGACACCAGTCCCCTTCAGGTTTTTCGAAGGCGCTGGACAGCACACAGAAGTCCGAAATGGACAGGAACGATTTCCACAAGGATCTCCAAGGACGAGAAAGGGGTAAGAGGAGTTGCGAGAACTACTGAAAACGTCCTCCTTAAGGTTGAAAACAAAGCTGGACAAGTATCTTCATAGGCGTCTCTGAACAGGGTACAGAAGCCTGGGCAGCACTTTCTGAGCCGAAGGCTGTACTACAACTTGAAGAGAAGGACACTTGGTATATAGTCAGTTAAAGATAGATGAAGCAGGCAGTTTCAGGTTGCTACAATGTGTGACAAGAATGTTCGCAAGGGGTCCCAGCTTGTTGACTGATAGGGATGATGTTCAGACTATCACTTGCCAAGGACAAGCACTCTTTTATATATCAACTCAACCTCCACTCGGTGATCCATTTTCCACCCGCTCATGCG